TTACTATTACCATTACCATTACTACTACTGTTACTAGTGCTAGATGTTTCTTCCTATTAACATTACTATTACTATTGCTATCATTGGCATTCTCGTTATTGTTGTTATTGTGAATATTCTTGTGATTGTTACTATTATCACAAATATCAATTGAACATGAAAGAGGAACCCCCGCCAAATGTCGAAATGTTCTCCACTCTCACCAAGCACAGCACAATAGTGGAAGGCAAGTTGCCAGAAGACAGTTGGCTACACTTGCCCAAACAAATGCCTCCGCCTGATGTAGAGTTTTGAAAAGGGTTTGGGTGCAGGTGTCGCGCCCTCAACGCCTAGCAGAATTCTGAGCCTCAACAACCAAAGGCTCAGAAGCCACCACAACAACTCAACCCGCCAAATCAAAGATCCGAAACTCAAACAGATGGGACCAAACAAAGCAATAAACCTTCCGAAATCGAACGAAGTTGATATTAGGAAGACGGACTGTGCAAGGGAGATGGACAAGAATGACAACGGGCCGCGGCGTGCCACAAGTCAACTGATTTAGACCCATGTGCCTAGGTCCGGAATGTCAATTTTCAATTGAGTTTGAGCGGATGACAAAAACCCTTGAGGAAGTCTTCTCGCCATGACGGGACAAGCCATGGAACACCAGCCATCGAGCATGAACATGTGCCGAACCCTATGCATCAATATTCAATAGTGTCGGTGACGTCACATCATCAAACTTACCAAGCTCGCATCTGACACACCGAGCGGAACGAAGAACACCAGCAAGGCTGCCCTCACTGCAAGAGTCTACTTCGGCGGAATCTCCCTGCATCGGTGCATTACCGATCTGGCTCTGTCCCAGACCCGACCTGAACTTCCAAGTAGCGGCATGACTCCTTAAGCACAGAGCCCATAGATCCTACATGGTCCGAAATCCTCAAGAAGAAGCCCCAAACACCAAATCCCCAGCGGGCCTGGACGACAAATCGGAGCCGCTCGCGACGCGACGCAGGCATGCCGCACCTGGGTGTGAGCTGTTTGGCTTAGACTCAAACTTCAGGATGTACTTGGGGGTTCATAGGACTTAGTAAGTTATTGTAAGTACCTGAAGTTACCTTGCTTGTAATCCTAGTTACTAAGTCCCATGAACCTCTACGTAGAAAATCTAGGACCGTAGATCAGGGCCTAGAGGTCTGGTTTTGGGGCTGCAGGGCTGCACCTCTCCAGGATGTAGCCTGTAGGGTCTAGGGTTTAGGGTTTAGGGTTGGGATTGACTTCTTGATGGCGTTCAGGTGGTAACGGATCTCTCAACACCAGCACCTCCCAAGAAAAACACAAAACAGCCCAATCGCGGACTGTTCAAGAAGCCCTTCAACAAACGGCTCTCGGGATAGAACCCGACAGCTGCCAGCAAGGATCGCACCTACGCCACAATCCAGAACCTCTTCTAAATCATGCTTGCCCTTCCAGTGCCTGTTAGAAACAGATAGTCAGCTAGCAGGGAACCGTCCAGGAGCCCTCGTCGACTCACGAATCCTGCGGCTACCACTCCGAAGAGCGCCGAAAAGCCTGCCTCACGCAACTTAATGCTGCCCCGTTTTTCTATGTCCACTCTTGCTGCCCATACTCTTGGTCTTGGTTACATTGGCGGTGGTGGCGGTGGTTGAGGAGGAGGTGGTGCTGCTGGTGGTGTCGACGGTGTGGTCGAGGCAGTGGTGCCAATGGTGGTGGTGCAGTGGTGGTTTCCTGGTACATAGTGGCGGTGACAAACCTTCTCTGGTTGCGATGCTTAGTGTGATCATCCCCTCGGTTATTGTCAGCTCTGTGTTTATCACTGCTACAGCTAGCACTCTTCCCATCACCGCTATTGCTGCTGTTGCCGCCATTTCTATCTGCGCAACTGCGACAAACGTTCGTGGTGTGCGACAATCGGATTTAGATTAGTGCTATGACTCACGACCATGACAACTGTGACTGTTACTGCTACTGCAGTGCTAATGCTAGCTACGAGTATGAACTCGTAGCGAACTCCCCAAGTCCTCAAGGAGACCGAGCCCGTCACCCAGACGCCCGGAGGGTCTTGGAGCGAGGGCAGCGGCGCGAAGGCCCAATCTTCGGGATCTGGGGAGGTTTGGTACACCTCCATGACCTCGGCGGTTTGCTTGTTCGTAGTGTGACTGGACCCACGTTCAAGAAAGAGTTTCGAGCCTTCGATAGGACATCGGTGCCGCTTGGAACAGGTTGGGACGCTGCAGAATAGGGGACCCTGCTGCCGACCGCATCATGACAGTTCTTGCAATCGGAAGGGCCACGAATCATGTGGGCCCCAGAGGTACGAGAGGTAAGCTGCGCCGCTGATCTGTTCAGATCCTACGCTACATGCTCGCTGTCGCAGTGAGTCGCAGCCTGCTTGAAGCACCGGGCGCCCCACCCACTCCTTGAAGATGCACTGCCCGCTGGCTCCGGCCTGAAAAGCCGACTTCTTTCGAGAATTGGGTGGTTGCGATGGTGAGGCCGACACCATGCCAAGTCATGCAGGGTAGTCGTCTCCCATTATTGAGAAAAGCATGTTGCAAAGCGCCATCTTTGCGATTTCATCCCAGGAAGTCGGCGTCTTGGGGTGATGTGAGGCATGCACTTACAGTAGCTCGCACGCTGATCATAGGAGTCTGAAAACATGCAGCCGTTCTCGACGAAGCTCCGGCGGGACCTGCCAGGACACGTCGAAAAAGAAGGCCGTGATGGAGTTGGGAACGATCCGCATGTCCTCAGGGCTTCCAAATTGCCCTGCATTCAGCGGCAGGAGACTCACCGAGCTGTCAATCTGAGGTCGGGGCGACGGGCACGCCGGCTTGAACGGGCATGGTTGTCATGATGGGGTCCGAGTAGCCCCAATCACTGTCGTAGATGAAGTCCGTGCACCTCTCCCTCACTCGGACCTTGGAAAGCTCGGGTCAGCACATACCACCGAACACCACGCAAAGGAGCCTGATACACCGTGAAGCTCTGAAGGTTGGTGACACTGCAGGTGACCTGTGTCAGCAGCAGCTCTGCGCTTGCTGAACGGCTTCACAGGACTTCGGCTTAAAGTCTGGGCCCGCAGGCGTTCTCGCGGAAAGGCAGGTAGCATTCCGTCAGGTCCATCCACTCCGTTGCCAGCCTTGAAAAAATTCTCCAAAGGCAGCAAGCGCTCCCGGATGATTTCTGCCAAACACCAAAAGACGCTCCTCTTTTCCTGCATTCTTCTGTCTGCAGAGGCCTACATGAGTCTACCCTTTGCTCGGTGGGAATTCGGTGAGCAAAGCGCTTCAACAACTCCATCGGAAAATCTGGCCATTAACACTGTGAACTGGAGCCTCTGTGTGGCGCCAGAGCTTCCAAAGTTAAAGTCTTTCGAGATCTTTAGAGCTTGGATGCTGGGACCAAGCATTCAACGGCGGCTTTGGCAACCGCTGCATCCTCGTTGGGCTTCACTCCCGAAACACCGCAGGCTCCAATGATCCGACCATGGCTCGGGTCGATGATGGGCACTCCACCTTCCATGAGGACACGGCCGGACGTGAGGAGCGCCGCACGCTCTCCGCCATTGGACTTCTCTCCGTTCACAGCCCCTTCCAATAGCTTCGTCTCCTGGGATGCTAGCTACACTGCACATGAACCTAGAATCGACAAGCCATGCTTAATGGCCTAATGCGGGTACACCTTTGAGGCGAAGGAACCCGGGCAAAGAGGATCGCGGATCGAGCTTTTTCCGTGGCGATCTCGGCACCAATCGGCATGCAGCCATCCATGCGATGCAGCGCAATCAGGTTTCCACCAGCATCGCAGATTGCGACAGCGACTTTCCAACCTCTGGGAGGTCTGACAAGATCTAGTCTGACACAGGCTGGAAGCATGCAGCCGGGGACAACATGAACAGAAGGACCAGCTTCCCAGGGCCCCGCCTGACTTTTCTGCTGCAGCTATTCCGGCACGCACCGCCTGCTCGGCACCAGCCAGCGTCACCGCCGAGCTGGGAACGATGGACATGGCTGCACGATGCTGGGCCGTGGATTTCTTACCCTCACAGGCTTGTACTGCGGCCGCGCGACGACTTCTCTCTGGTCTACAGTGTACAAGGTCAAAAAAGGCCAGAGCATAAGACGAAGCCTGTTCGAGGCTCTGACGGGCCGGCATCTCCTTGTAGAATTTGCACCTGCTTAACTTCAGATTTGGGGAGATTGCTTACCCTGTAGTATGTGATCTAAGCCCAGGTGGTGTGGCACCTCCCAAGAAGACCACGTACAGTCCAGGCCAAGACCCGGCTCGAAGGTGAAAGTCCTCAGGCGCGCACACCATACCACACCGCAAGGGGAGTTCTGAGAAAGATGCCTACGATGCCTGAGGGTCCGGGCATGTTGTACGCAGTAAGCTCCACGGCCGTGAAATTGCTCGGGATCTGCGCAGGCTCTGGCCACGTCAAGACGAAGTCGGGCCTCGAGTTGAACAAAAACTTGCAAGCCACAGGGGGCCAGTGACTGCCGCGCCCCGTGGGCTGAGTTCGAAGGGCCACGGCCACTCGACCCAAGGACTGTCTGCCATCGGGTCGGTGCAGCTCTCCTTCATCCGCACCTTGCAGCAGCTGGCAATGGCTGCATTGAAGACGAAGACGGCGAACCACCGAGTGGACACCAAGCCCCATGCCGTGTAGTAACTCTGGCTAGCGGGGAAGCCAGAAACGGAGCAAGTCGTCGTGCTGCGAGGCGTGCAATCATCATATGGCCTTAGAGAAAGATGGTGACCAGTTGGCTTCCACATTGCAGAAACTTCATTGCTGTGTCCCCGACAGCCAATAGTCCCACCCCTGCATCTTCCACTCCATCGTGTAGGCCTGCTACGAGACGAGACAACAAGCGACGACCCCGAAAGCGAGCATGTAGTGTGATGTCGCCTCGAACACGCACTGGCCAGCTGCCCGCTGTGAGATCCTCACTCCCTGAGCAGGATGTGGGTGGAAAGAAAGCCTTCTGCCTCACACTTGTGCACCACATCTCACATGTATGTGCATGCATGTATGCCCAGGTGATAATGTAGGCATTGTATGTATGTACATACGTACGAAGGTTTGCAGGTACGTATGTGTGTACCTGTGTATGTACCTATGCATGTATCTATGAATGCACGGATGGATGGATGGATGGATGGATGGATGGACGGACAGACGGACGGACGGATGGAGGGACGGACGGACGGAGGGATGGATAGATGGATGGATGCACAGGTGTATAGATACATGGATGTATGTTCGTCTGCCTGTGAGCGGGTATCCATTTATTTTTGTACGTTATTTCAACTGCTGCCGCTGTTGCCACCACTACTACTACCACTACGACTACTACGACGACGACTACGACTACGACTACGACTACTGCTACTGCTACGCCACTGCTACTGCTACTGCTACTACTACTACTGCTACTACTACTCCTGCTAGCTGCTGCTGCTGCTGCTGCTGCTGCTGCTGCTGCTGCCTCTGCTGCTGCTGCTGCTGCTGCTGCTGCCACTACTACTACTACTACTGTGCTACTTGTTCGACTTCTACTACCGTTGTATATGCAATTCTTGTTGGTCTTCAATGTACTTCTCTGTTCCAAGCAAGCACAGCTGAGCTGAAGCCCCGGGCAAGCGACCGCGCACTTGTTGCATAGACGGAAACGATGAAGGGGGCCACCTCGGCAAGTGAATCGGTACAAAAAGCGGTCGGCCAATGGGTGCTCAAAGCAGCTTTGCTTCATCTTGTCTGCTAACTGTGGCACGTCGTCGCTTGGCACCCAGCCGCTGGAACAGGACGCGTCCGTGCAATGTCGAGAACTGTCAGCGTGTCTCCGAGCGCATTTGGATCAACCTCGCAGTTGGGTTGGTACTTGCTCGATGTCAGAGTTCGGCCGAGCAACGCTATGGCGCAGGACACCAATGCTCAGTTTGTTCAAAACACCCTTCCAATGGCGCCGGCATACGCTGGCTCTACCAGGGCAATGACCGTGCGGCCCACCCCTGATTCACCCCAATGCCGTCCAAAGCTGCAGAGGTCTGCGATACTGTATATTGACATGATCCAGGTTGTCCTTCACTTCAGAGAGCCGCACACAAGTCTCCGTTATCCGCATGTCGTAGTACACGTTGCTCAGCCTCAGGCAGAAGGAACTCAAAGCCTCTGCAGCTCTGCCAGATGTGCTAAGTTTCGTGAATGAAGGCTCTCGGTGCCGGGCAATCCTTGTGTGATTTGGCACTCGAAGGGCTCACGAGGGTTGGCCCTGCATTCGGAGGACTCCTGTGCAGTTTCTGACGTCAGAACGACCTAGGTTCAATCCTCCGACTGCTCTCACTGCTCTCAGTGTCCTCCCAATCGAGATTTCTATCATGTATGCGAGTCTCCACCTGGCACAGGCGAAATAAAGCACGAACCACAAGGCACGACCGCTCTCTCAAAATCCCTACAAGCTTCACGAAGAAAAGCCCTCTCGAAGGGCTGTCAAGTAGTACCCTAGGCCCTGCCCTTGATGACAAGAGGCATCTCAGAAAACGCTCCCTGCCTTCCAGCCTGTGAAAATGCACTCGCCCGGAGGGTGTGCATCCTCGGCAGACTAACGGCTCAAGGTCTTAGCTTGTGGGCTTCAGGGTGCCTCAGGTTGGTGTGATGTTGGAAATGCTGAGAGACTCGCCCACGCGACATCCAGCGACGCAAAGGAGATGTCGTGGTTTGGTGATGTGGAGTTGGCCGTCAGGTTCTCCGGCATTGAGGCAGGCACCTCTGTTTGCTGTGGAATATGCTGGAGACGTGGAGCGGCAAGCATGAACGTCCAGCTGCACGCCCAGCCGAGCCCTGCACCGGCAGTCTTGTTTCAACCACCTCATCGTAATAGACCTTGAACGACCGTCACCGAGAGCTGACAGCGGATCGAGGACGGCATGCCGAGAGGGCACAGTAGTGTCTCCGGTAGCGACACACTGAAGATAATAAGGGCTTGTGCTGGCCCTCCCCTCATGCTAGACCACTCGTCCGTGGCTGCTAGCAAGAACAACTCGACAATTGAAAGGCAGTGGTACAAGAACGGAAGGGGCTTCTGTGCACTAAAGCCAAGGTGCCCAGTCCGTGTAGAGTCGCCGCACTGTGCACGCCTCACCTAGATGCAGGGTCGCAGGAGTTGCAGACAAAACCTTGTGGGCAAGTGGGTCTGGAGCTGGATCTTGCAATCACTACAAACACTGTTTGGCAAACACATCGACTAATAGAGTCCGATTCTACTACCGTCAAGCAGTCGGTCATCGGAGGTGGACAGTCTGGACAGTGTAGCTGCACAGCAAGGCACCAACCTTGAATCGCTACCTGCTTTTCTGTCGTCGGGGACCAGGCGCATCCGCACTTGGAAGGCTTTGCCACTGTTCAAGCCGACATGAACCTCGTGTTCATCCAGCTTCTGCTTTTGAAAGGTTCAAAACCTGGAAGGACGACCAAGTCTCCAAGATCGGCTGCTCTACTCGTAAAGTGCACTGCTGAAATCTCCGGCAGTCATCACAAGGGTTCGAATCAACGCAGGTCCAACTGCAGAAAACCTCGGGAGAAGCATCACGTCGGCTCTGGGGTCGTGGCCATGCACTTCGTTGTACTCCGCTGAAGGACACGGCATCCAAAAACCGGTGGATCATCACCTGGCGACCCAGGGCCGGTCCTCTTCTAGAAGATGTGACGGCCTCGTCTCTCTAATTATTAGTATTATTTTTTTACTTTTATTATTACTATTCTTATTATTACTACTAAAATTATTATTACTAAAATTATTACTATTACTATTATTAGCTGCAGCTCAGACAGCGAAGACTGCGGAGGGCACCTGCAGGCCAGTCCGTGTTGTTCACCTGTCGGATCATAGAACGGCTATAATAATATAGTATAATACAATATAATACAATATAATATAATACATTATAATATACTAAAATATAATATAATAGAATATACTACAATATAATATAACAATTCATTGTCCAACAACCACAATGGCTCTGAAGAGACAGTCAAGCAGAAATGGCAAAACAAATCTCCAACCAACATACTTCTCCCCGCAGGGACAGGAACTATCGACCCGAGACTCGAGACATAGACATTACACCGGGGCTGATAGCAGGCATCACCTTATCTTGTGTTATACACGACATATTACTTGCACTTGCTTTCGTGTTCTAAGCAATCGTGTTGCACACATGGATGTATGTATGTATGTGTGTATGTATGTATGTATGTATGTATGTATGCAGGTGAATGGATGTACCGATCTATGCGGTTCGCATCTGCGTTGGTATTTCGCTATCGCAAGGTTCTGTTGTTAGTTGCCGATTTGCATTTCTGAATACATGTTAAGTCCTGTAGTTCGCTAATTATCTATTTTTTGCGTATGTTGGCGAGTCTTCCATGATTGCTGCAACCCCCTTCGGTGGGCCCAGGCCTTCACCTGGACTTCCCAATATTGGAAGATGCAAGCCTGCCAGCAGAAGGGAAGACAGTGCATTTAAATGAGCATCCGACCTTTCGTGGTAGAAACGTTGCTACAAGGACTCTACAACATCGTATCTTGGTGATTCGTACGAGGAGGCTTTCTGTCAATGTGCTGAAAAATCACACAGGGATAGGAGTACGGCGGTCCACTAGCGTCCTTTGCAGTGGATAGCGGGCATTTGGAGACAATGCCATACAGGCTCCTAACTGTGACCGCTCCTGGAAAATCTCCTGCCGACAGAGCTACAATTCTATATATATATATATATAATATGATGAAATATAGTATATATATATACACATATATATATACATATATACATATTATAATATACTACAATATACTGCAGTACACTATAGTGCTATAACTTACTACAAAAAACCATGAGAAGCATCGCAAGGACAGGCCTTGGGATCACCAGGATCCCAGCTGACCTGCGAATTATCAGGGTGGCTGTGGCAGAGCACAGGGACCCGAACCGGAAGGCGGGGTCGCAGCCTCGAAGGTGTAGAGGTCTTCGTTGTAATGGGTCAAATTCTCTGGATTGAAGGCTGGCATGGTCAGTGTGGCGCACTCTTGGTACCTGCAGCCAGCTCATGGTGCAAGAGACGGATGACGATGACGCCTTCAAGGCACATCCTGTGGAGGCCTTGCCTTACGAAGAACTCGCTGTTGGCCAGGGGATCGGTGCAGGTTTCTCTAACCTCAGAGAGCAACAGTTTCCAAGAGTTTAAAGCTGTATTGGTGTGGCATACCAATAAATTCACCACAGCGGTCTGCCTCCGGTCACTTGAGGAGTCGGCTCGAATCTTGTAATCCCGATCCGCAAGCAGATCTGTCACCCAGCACTCCTGAGACCACGTGTGAGCAAAGGACAGGATGAACCGTGTCGAACCGATTGAGTCTCTCATCAGATTCAAGCAGCCCACTTGAAGCAAGAGCGCTTGAAGCCGGACTTAGGACCACGCCCGCAAGTCTCGGTCGTACCTCGCACACAAGCAAGCTTTCTTCAGATTGGTGTGAAGTGGAACTGGCCTCATTTACAAGGACAGCCGTTGGTATAGTATAGTGTAGCATAGTATAATATACCGTATAAAGTATAGTCGGGTATAGAATAGAAGAATATAGTACAGTGTAGTAACCATCTTTGCTCGAGGGCACAACACACACTTCGTTTCATACTCGCCACCAGGAGCTGCTCCCTCAAAGAGGCCATCCTCCGTGAATCCTGCCGTCCTGGCGCAGCCAGCTTCGAGTTGCATCATACTAAACCATGCTATGCTACTACTCTACTACTATACCATACGTTACTAGACTATACTAAACTAGACTCTACCACAATATACCTTACCATACTATAATAAGGGAAGCAACACGAACCCTACCTAAAACCAGAACGTCGCAGCCCACCGACCTTGGCAAGAGCTGCGCCTCCAGCTCCCAGGCCACAAACTCGCAGTCCTGCGAGCAGGCTCGCACGTTGAGGGCCTCACACCTTTGCATCATAATCCCAATAGTACACCCCCCAAAATCGTAAGACATTGATACTATAGTATAGTATATCCCAAGACCCTCTCTCCAGTAGTAAGGCCACTACGTAGACCAGGCCAGTCATGGTCCAGTTTAGGGTTACTTGCAATGCTATACACTATAAATTAAACACTCGATGTAAGCCTCCCGACCCTTTACGAACAAACCCACGGGTCCTCTGGGTCACTTGCCCACCAATCCGCCTCGAAAAAGACATCGGGCAGCTGCCGAAATGAACAGGCACAGATATACAATGAAGATTGCGCAAACACAGAGAACTTATTTCTCTACAGATACATCCTGAAACCAGGTAGATCATAAGCACCTGTGCCTTGCCACTAGCCTAAAACCCTCATAGAGACGACCGGGGCGCATAGAAGCGGAGCGGCTCCAGGCCTTTCCAAAGGCGTATGTGAGGTGATATTCAGACTGGGACACTAGAGAGCTTAGGGGGTTTAGGGTCTAAGGTTAAGTATTAAGCTTTCTTTTTGGGGCTTAGGGCTTAGGATTTAGGACTTAAGATATTTGTGGGGTTTTGGAGTCACGGTTTCAAGTTGAGGACCTTGGGATTAGGGTTAGGATCCGGGCGTTAGGATCTAGGGCTTCGGATGTTGGCATGGGGATTTATGGGCAGATGCCTTCGTTCACATAAGCCCATATCCTTCCTCTTTGAGACTCTCAGCAAGGATGCTGAGATTACGACCCTAGAAGAAAGTTGTTTGCGAGGAGCGTAGATTCCAGGGGGTCTGAAAGCTGAAAGGCTAGGATGCGAGGCTTCGGTGTTCAGGACTGGGGATGGAGGAAAGAAGCACAAACTGTGGAACTTCACGAGGTGGGACTTTAGGGCCTATCGGGATATTGAGGAATTGAAGGGTCGAACGAGGGCGTGCCCGGACCACTTCTCCCAGAGGTCCAAACTAGTCTGACACGTGGAAACGACAACTTGCTCCAGAAGCGCATGAAAACCCGCTAAAAAAGAGCTGCACTGCTTTCTGTACGCCGTCGCGTCATGCAAGGAACCTGTGCAGAAGAGCGCAGACGGCGGAACGGCGGGGATGGGCCGAGTCCCAACCTGGTCCGAATTGATAGTGTTCAGCGTTTCGGGGCTTAGGTTTGATAGTGTTTCGGTTGCTTGGGGTTTAGGTTTTAGGGTTGAGGGTTGCTTAGTACTGGCTCAACAGCATGACTGCTTTTGTCAAACTCGTCGCGCTGTGTTTAACTCGCTTGCTGTCGCCACTGCGACTTCCAAATCTTCTACGGGTTTGTGCAATGGCAGCTTCAAAGGAACGGGGGGATGAATCCAAGTCTGGAAGCCCTTCAAAGCCAAGAAGCAGCAGGACCAGATATCTTGCCCCCACTCAAAAACAAAAAAACGTAAGCCTAGTACCTCAACAACAGCAGGCCTCTAGGTTCAGTCTCAAAAAGCTGTGCTGCACTAAGCTTCGGACAGCAACCGTCGTTCTGTTGGGATATGAGCTCAATTCCACCACTGTACACTGGGCCCACACCTGGCACATGCACAAGGGCTGAAGACATCGACGCAAATGGGGTGTCTTGGGTTCAGCTAGAAATCCAACATCATCTTACACTGAACCATTATTCGTGTGATGATCATTTGTACTGTTACGTTTACTTTCTTAATTCATCCGTACAATGTGATTACTACTACCCTTAATCAGATATAATGCAGAGCACTACAGAATAATACACTATGCAATGTCATAATGTTTCTCTGCCGCAGCCCGGCCCGGACGTTGTAGTCCGTTAAGCTGCGGAGGTTCTCGATCGTGCAGCTCCTTCGCCGGGATGGTAGATCACCGTAAGGGTTCAGGGTTAGTTAGTGAGGGTTTGGGGTGCGCTGTGCAGAGGGTATTCTGCAGAGAATCGTGACAGGGATATCGCGCGCCTCTTGTTGTAATCTCGCGTGTCACATTCCCGCATCCAGATCCTGCACACAGGTTGAACTTGCTGATGCAGCAGTACTTCATCTTCGAACAGCAGTCAGGTGGCACACATGATGGCAGTGACATTTTCACAGAACTATCGACCCTTTCGGGTCCATTGTCCCTCGCCGTAGATGTGAACCTCGACAGTGGCTTGAAGCACACCCAACAATTTGCCAATCAAACAGCTTTACTAGGCCCCACAGGGTTTCAAGGATTTGGACCTTGTCCCCTGCATTCTCAAAACCGGCAGCACTCCAGCGACTGAGAGACCTTCACTCCGTCTCTGCCTCATGCACCCCTGCCTGTGAAATTGCAACTCGCCACTCCAGGAACTGGCAGCTGGAGTAGCCGATCTGCAGCAATGCGGCTTCTCCATTGCTTCATCACAACTGGCCTACATTTCACAACAGCAACATCAACAACATCAGCAACCTAGAAGATAATTATAACGACGCTCGACGACCACGCAGCGGCGAAGACAACGAGGACGACCGAGGACAGACGACCGAGGACGGACGACGGACAACGCCGATGGTGCACCACCAGACTTCGGCGTCGTGGGACAACTGATCTGAGCACCCAGCCAGGTACCTGATGCACTGCCGGCATTCCATAAGCCCTTACTTCGGACAGCTCTGCCGCTGCGATGACCCTGGGGCACTCTTGCGGCTCCCAGGATATGGTCAGTGATGCGGGCCTCGAAGCTGAACAATCTGTGTCAGCTGCGCATGGCCTAATGTCTTCGGTAGGCCACATAGCGTGGAGAATCGATGAACCTGTTGCTTCTGTTTGTCAACCACGGCATCCTGCCTTCAGCTACTAGACACGCCACTGGTCAGATAATTGCAGCAGAATCAAGCCACAGATTGAAATTAGATGGATACGTTTGCTGTAACTTTCAGCCAAACTACACTGTCGGTGCAACAAGTAATGCCAGGCTAAGGTTGGGACCCCAAGGACTCCACTTGGGTCAGCAGCGGCGTCTTGGCAGGCACCTCCACAAAACGACTTATTAACTCTTGCGTGCCGTTCCTCAAGGCAAAACGCTCCTCTCACAGCGCAGGCCCTGCCTCACACGTCCGTAAGCCGCCGTGATCATTGCATTCCTTGCGTCCGAGCAACGACTGAACAAGAGAGACGAGAGACCTTGACACGAAGTCTGCCCTTCAGAACCACTCTCTAAGTCACTCAGGAATCACGTGTCCCCATCGCCGAAACACTGCAGCACTGACAATGGTACTAAATCTCCATCCTCCTCCGTCGCTTTGCAACAGCGTTCCTGATCAGCGTAAGCGATTAATCATCGCATGGCAAGTATTGTCATCTATTGACAGGCTGCCTCATTCTGCGAAAGATAAGTGTCCGACATGTGTTGCCACTAGTGCAAACATGCTTCTCCCAAGCTGTCGTTCTGCATTGTGACAATGCATCAAGCACGCATCATCGAAACAGGACATCGAAGTCGTCTCAGTCAGTGTCGTATCGCGCAAATGACGCCGTCGTAAAGAACGAATATTGGGGCTTCAAAAGATCAGTGGCGGTACGTTTTGTGAGTGTCCTCACAACAAGGACCCATCAAGGGGTGTACATAAGGGTCCCTGGTCTTTTTCTGAAGAATCCAACAATCTGGCCTGGGAGTCGGCACAGTCAAACGGGTTGTGGCACATGAAAGGCGTGCTTGCTGGACACCTGGCCAGATGTGCAATCCGATTCTGCTGTTCTTACCATAGACACTCTTACTCTTACTCCACGTACTAAAGATTTAATCATTTAGTCATGTGGCAAGTTGGGATTGCTGTTCTTATTAACAGCATCATGATCCAAACGTTTCTTGCCCCACAAGTTTGTCGCAAGACGAAAGCCCTCCACTTCGCTGCCTGATCCGTCCACCATGCGGAACACAGCAGCTAGGATCCGTCTCACTGCAGTAGGTGCCTGCCCAAGCGCACAGAGCTGAGTTCAACTTGCGTGCTTAGGCAGCCCAGGGAACCACACGCTCTGAAGGGACGGGGTGGCCGTACACACTCTTAGCCTCTGGGGGTTTCCGAAAATAGGGGACCCCAATATAGTAAATAGTCTTGTTATAAGGACCCCAAAATAAGGTACCCCTTAGTTTCGGAAACTCCCATCTAGCTTCGTGAGAAAAGAGCGCAAGAAAGTGACGGAGCCGGCCGTCAACGCATTCGAACTGGTCCGGCTGACCCCACTGTCCAGTGTGCGTCGACCTGTGCTGTGGTCCGTCGGCTCACATACTATGCGATCTTGGAATGCACAGATGCAGCTGTGGCTGCCAGGAGTTTCCGACCCGGCTCCTTGCAACCACTCTAACGCCTGAAGCATGACTCCACTGATCCCTCACCTGCTTTCCAATATTGTGTCAGTAGACAAAATCCCGTTACCGGGATGTGCTTGCTTGGGGAGCGGCCATATGCAGGCTGGAGGTGTGATGATGTAGTCCTGCTCGCATAGAGTGCACACATGCAAGCATGCTCCGCACTCCAGCCACCTGTTGAAAGAAAAGGCTTCGGTTGCTCGTGACATGCCATCCTCCGTGTAAACGTACTCGCTGTCCACCGAAGAATTCTCACACGACCTGGCTGAGATAAGCTCAAACTCAACGCGGAGCCTTGCGGGAGGAACTGTCGAGTGGCAAATTCAACCAGTCGGGATGACATTTTCATTCGCCCCCAATACTTCTTGTCCGGCAGGGCCTACGTGCTTCGGCTTGGCACATCCAACTCGGCCCTCCAAATGATCATGCTGATTCTGGTGAATGCGGTAATACTGATGGACCGGATGATGATGATGAGGAGGACCATGGCGATGACGATGATGATGACGACAAAGGTGAAACTTGCTGCAGCTTATCCTCGGATCCTGAAAGAGACACACCACTGCAGCACTGCAGCTGCACGGCTGAGCCATACCGGTTTGTCGTGCTTACCAGAGCAAAGTCGCAACGATGACAGCGATCATGATGGTGATGATGACGACGACGATGACGAACACGATGACGATGACGACGATGACGACGATGATGATG